TTACATTAATGGCAGCAAGATTAAGAAATCCAGCACTCTGTAGATTTGAAGAAGATGGAGAAGTTTAGGCGTTAGGTGTGTAACGGAGACGTTAATATACTTGACGGATTCCGTTAATGTGTGGATAGATGTGTAACGGTAGAGGGTAAGTCAATCATTGTCCTGTTAACTTATTGTCAACCTTGAATCTCTCAAACATGTGATATTAAACCTTGTTAATGCTCCTATTGCCTTATCTATTGCTCTAGGTACCAAACCTTAACATTTTGATCCTGGTTGTTGTAATCACATGTCTTCAACTACTGCTCTTTTCTCTTAAATATCACTAAATAATTCCTTCCCTAACATTTATTCTGTTGATATCTCCCCTATGAAGGTTGGTCACATTGGCAATATTTCTACAAATTCATTGACTTTGCCAAATGTTTTCTTGGTTCTAAAACTTAGTTATAATCTTCTGTTTGTTGGTTAACTATGTGATCTTGGTCTTGAAGTAATATTTTCTACTCATTGTTGTCATGTGTAGAACCCACGGATAGGACAACTTCTTGGAATTGGTTGCAAGTTGAGGTGTATGTTTGAACTCAACTATTTGCATATTCCTCATCATAAAATGGATACACCATCATTTCCAAATGATCAATTCATCCAAACCCTACTTTATGCTATTGAATTAGAGTCTTTGCAAATTCCATATCAACAAATCTTTCAAGCCTATACTGTACTAACATTTCTCCTTCCATATGTGGCACTCACGGCTCGAATACACCTCGATCAATAAATTTTGTCCTCTTATATCTTGTGGTTTATTAGAATCTATTCTAAATGAATCCTTGCATTGTGTATCATATAAATTTGCAAAACAACTACTTTTATCTTTTTCGAGTAGTCATTCTTTTTCTATTTCTTTTTTTGATCTCGTATATTATGATGTTTAGGGTCCATCTTCGACACCCATCATGAAGGGTTCCAAGTTTTTTGTGTTGTTTATTAATGACCATACTCATTTTATCTAGATATATATATTATAAAAAATTACTCTGAATTGCCATAACTTTATATTGATTTTGCTACCATGGTTAAAACCTAGTTCTCTAAACTTATCAAAGGTTTGAGAACTGGCAATGTTACTAAATATTTTAGTATTAAACTTCAATCTTTTCTTTAAAAAAAAGGTACACTAACACAACAATCTTCTCCTTACACTTTTGAACAAAATGGGTAAGCTCAACGCAAACATATACACAACCTCGATTTTGTTCTTGTTCTGTTTATTTCGTCTTCTTTTCCATAGCAATTTTAGGGTGATGCTACTTTTATAGCTGTTTGTCTCATTAATCGGATTCCATCATCAGTCATTAATAATTAGTTTCCATACGAGCGTTTACATGATATTCTTTCTACTTATAATCTTTTTAAAGTTTTTTATTATGCTTGTTTTATTCTTATTCCACCTCATGAACATAACAAAGTTAGAGCTTAAAGCTCAATTATATTGCTTTTTGGGTTATGGGATTACATATAAAGGATATTGTTGTTGGGATCCTGTGACACAAAAACTTTGAGTCTTACATCATATTGTCTTTTAGGAACACACTATGTTTTCCTTATTATCAAACTTCTAGGTGTCATCTTTTGATCAACCTCCACTTTTTACTAACCATTCTATTAAGTTGTTTCCTAGTGACTTTGATGAAGATACATTTGATGAGCTACATGATGCCTCACTACATGCTCCACTTGATTCTATAAAAGATGCTCTGCCTGATGGTAATACATTAAACACTACTAAGTCTTCTTCCCTTATCTCTTCTATATCACTTGTTGGATTTGACCCTAAAATAAGATCATTAATCCACCTTTAAGTCATCTTACTCGAGTAAGAAATCCTCCTAGCTATTTTCGAGATTATCATTGTTTTCCTACTATTGCCTCCTTACATGAACCTCAATCCTATCAAGAGGCCTCTTCTAACCTCCTTTGGCAACAAGCTATGCAAGATGAATTACAAGCTCTTGAGAAAACTTGTACATGGAATTTAGTTGATCTCCTCACTAGAAAGCCTCTAGTATCTAATGGTTCCATGAAGTGTTATAAAGCTCGTTTGGTTGCTAAAGGATTTACTTAAGAATCTAGGATTGATTATGAGTAAACCTTTGCACTTGTTGCTTATCCTACTTCGATTTGTAGTTTGATTGCTTTTGTCGCTGTAAGAAGTTGGAAATTGTTTTAGATGGATGTGAAAAATGCCTTTCTAAATGGTGATCTTGTAGAGGAAGTTTACATGAAACCACCTCTTAGACTTGAGTATTTTCCAAACAAGGTTTGCCAATTGAAGCGAGCTCTGTATGGTTTGAAGTAAGCACCTTAAGCCTAGTTTGCCAAGTTTAGTACCATCATCAATGAATTTGGTTTTACTTCTAGTTCCCATGATATTGCACTGTTCATACACAAGATTAATCATGGTATGGTTCTATTGCTTTTTTATGTTAATGATATGATCATTACTAGTGATGATATGATCATTACTAGTGATGATATGATAAGTATTCACGATCTTAAGCAATCTCTCAATCATAAGTTTGAGATGAAAGATCTTGGTGTTTTGAGCTATTTCTTGGGACTTGAGGTCACCTTTTCTAATGATGGTTATCTTTTATCCCAAACATAATGTGCTTATGATCTTATATCTAAAGTTGGACTCACTAACAACAAGATTGCATCTACTCCTTTTGAGCCAAATGATCAACCTACACCCATGGATGGTTCTCCATTAGTTGATCATACTCATTACAGATAGATGGTTGGAAGTAGATGGTTGGAAGTTTAATTTATCTTACTACAACATGGCCAGACATAGCTTATACAATTCATGTTGTTAGCCAGTTTATAGCTACACCTTGCTCCACTCACTATGCAATAGTACTTCGCATTATTTGTTATATTAAGGGTACCATTTTTCATGGACTTCACTTTTTTGCTCATTCATCTCTTGAACTTTGTGCTTACTCTGGTGTTGATTGGGCTGGAGACTTTAATAATCATAAATCCACCATTGGATATTGTCTTTTCTTGATGATTCCTTAATCTTTTGGCATAGCAAGAACCAGATAGTTCCATCTCATTCCAACACAAAGGCTGAATATCAAGCAAGTTATGTTGGCTACTAGAAGATATTGGTGTTCCTCAACTGCCTACTATTGATCTTTATTGTGATAATCAAAGTGCCATGCAGATTGCTTTTAATGATGTCTTCCATGAATGCACTAAACACATTGAGGTTGATTGTCACTCTGTTCACCATCATGTTGCATAAGGAACTATTCCTTTGGTTTTCATTGGCTTTACTGATCAACCTGCCAACCTTTTCACCAAGGCTCATTTTCTTGGACGCTTGTATACTCTTCTTTTCGAAGTCAAGTTGGTTTCATCACAACCATCTTGAGTTTAAGGGGATGTTAAGACGTGAATACGATAATTGACAATCAACTATTTAGATTATATTCATTTTATTCGCATTTATTATAAATATTTTATACCTTAAAATATTCTCTTTATACCTTAAAATATTCTCTTTATAAACACATATATATAAGTCATTATACATATAATATTATTCAAAAAAGTAAAAAATCTTTTTTCAAGTATTTCTCATATTTTTCTGCTTCTAACAATAAGAATTGTAAGTCAATTCCTAATTTGTTTTTCCCTCCTAATATATAGCTTTATGGGTTGAAATATCTACGCTACTAGGCAATAAAAATTTATTTTGTTAATAAAAAAACTACTGTACATTAATATGTATATTTGCTTTCAACCCTATGTGGTCAAAGTGGCTTATATATTTTTTATATTTTTTATGTCGAAAAGTGGTTTATATATTATACAACTTATATATGGAGAGATGTCCAATTATTAACATCAACATCTGTAAGGTCAAAAGGAACTAAAATGAAAAATCTTTTTTTTTTTTTTTTTTTTTTTTT